GCTCGACGAACGAAGCCGAAACTAATACGTGTCTTGTGAGACTCAAGCTCACGTTTCTAAATAGCAGCACTGACGCGGAAACCATCTGCTCTAATCATTTCTACTTCTTAGCAAGAAAAGTATTTCTGAAACCGGTACTGAAAGCGCCTGCCGATCTCAGGGAGCAAGATATTATCCCGTGTACGTCCTCCGGATATCCGCTGCTCGCGTGCCGAACGTGAGATGGAAATATGCAGCCTGTGACCTCATGCAGCTTGTGACTTCATGCAGCCTGTGACTTCATGCAGTGCCTCACTGATATATATGCAGGATGCACTTCAGAAATTCTCGTGATAAGCAATTTGGATGCAGGTATATATTTTTGGTAAAAGGTATTGACGGTATTAAATGCACTCACAATCTCTAGACATGGTCTCCCAACCGCGTGTGAATATCGTGGCCGAAAGCGGTGCAATCCTGTTTTTTTTTTCTTGGGGGCGACTGCATGGTGTTGACTTCGTTTGTCCTGAATACAATGAAAGTGGTCTTTAAACTGCTTAACCTAATTACCTTGGTCTTTTGGGACCAGCGTGGGAAGGATCCAAAGAAGATGGTGCCCCACCTTGTTTTTATTATTATTATTATAATATCGCACATTTTTGCACATAGTAGGAAAGGAGAAGATCGTATTTAGATGTGAACCACCCTAAAATAAGTCAAATAAGTGAACTACAATAAAGTTTAGGCACAAAAATGCTCATCTTTATAAATCTCCAAAATCGAAATTGTTTTAATAATTTTTTCCCCATAAAAATATCCAGTTTCCTTATTTCAAGATGCACGAAGACCAAAGCAGGAAATGATGCAAGACAGCGAGAATATATTTTCCGTGGCATGAAGGAAGCATGCATGCGAATTTCATGGCAGCATCTTCGTATACCGAAACGCTGCCGGTTCATGATGATGGCAATTGGCATGTTCCACCCTGTCACAATGAAGGATGTGGGTATGGACTTCCAGGAGCGCAATAGTTGACTTTCCCCTCTCCTCGAGGAGCGAGAAGGAAATTTCATAGTTCAGATCAGGCTTTACCTTAACCTTAATAACGATCTAGTCTCATTGGAAAATGTTGACCTTCCCCCCCCCCTCCTTGATCAGCTAAGAGAGAGAAAGATCATATTTAAATTATTCATTTGTGTAACGCATGGCGTAAATTAGGTAGCCAGAGGAAGCCAGAGTGGAGAACGTGGGTCGGAGCTAATTAAAATGTGTCAATTATAACTTTGGCATTGAGGTGGGTTAGGTGTGGATGCATTCGTAAAAGGTTGGCTTAAGGGTGGCAGTCTGTACGTGGCTATGGGATGGTCAGAGAACGTTGGCACAAAAGTCGGCTGACCCAGACATGACCAATCGTAGTCAACCATAAAGCCTTCATAAGCAAAGGATAACCTGCTGATGGCCCGTAGATTGTGTATGGAAGGGCCACCCGTGAGCGTCATTGGCCCGGCTATAAATTTTTGAATGAGTAGCGCAGAACTCTTCCTCTATCTAGCATACGCTTTGTTGGTGTTGCCATGCTCTTTTGGACATCTCAGGATGAGACTGGTTGAATTTTAGCGATTTAAGGAAAAAACATATTTTCCACCAGGTTTTCACTCACTCTGGACCACTGTGCAACGGGACGATCCCTGCTTAGACGCCGATAAAAATAAATTTTATTGCCTGTTTAGTCATCCATCTCCTGATGCTCCGTAAAAACCCCCTCTAACGCCAAATCCGCATCGTTTCCTTTTTTTCTCTGTAATTTCATGAAAGATGAGGTTGCGTTGTCGCTGATGAACCACCAGCTGTAGCAAATTCTCCGGCAGGACCCTGTTTTCTTTAGCTAACTTCTCTTGGATGGCTAGGATGGTTTCATTGGCGGAATCGTCGAATTCTCTGGAAGCCTCCAACTCGGTGACTCGCCAATCAAAATCTTTTAATTCAGCCTTTTTTTTCACTTCAAGGTCGACGGATGTGAGACTGTTCTTCATCCAAGTCTGCTCTTCCGGCACTGCATTACGTTTGGCACTGACTTCGTCCAACTTAGAACTTATTTCTCAGAAGCTGCCATATTAGGTATGGAGTAGACTCACTCACTGGTCTTGTCCATGTTAAAAAAAAATCATTTGAGGGTTCGAGCACTAATTTATCCAAAGCTCATCGCATCATCTGTTCTTTAGGAAAGCAACATTCCTTTATCCAAGGTTGCACTCCTCATGACACTTATGTCTATCCTCGGAAATGATTACGAAAAAAGGACTCCAGATCATCCACTACCGAAATAAAAAAAGGCTCAACGAGTCCTCCAGCGACGGCAGCCACGAAAGAACTCGTGATCTCGAGAGCGTTTTGTTTCGTTAAACCTTGAACGAAAGTTTCGATATTGATGTCGTGAGATATCTAGGTAGGAACGAATAAGCGAATGCTTTGCGATGGAGAAAATCAATTTTGTCATGGCAAATAAAATGTCCCCAAGAATGTGTGAATTTTATTCGTTCAATTCTCTCCTAAAGGCATTCGCTCATAGGAAACAACTCGTGCAACCAATACTTTGAAAAAGTACTTACATTTCATGAAGCAACCTACACGTTTCTTTCATGAGATGTAAAGATTTTTATTTTTACATGAATGACAAATCCTCTCATCAAAGAGTAACGAGCATGTAATACAATTTAAGGAGAGATGAAGACACCTTAGAATATTCGCTTGCAAGCACATTTCGCTTGATAAAACACCTGGAATAAAGAAAAATAGCTGAAATTAATGGAGTTCCTGGAAGAAAGGAGAGCATCGATTTTCTCGCTAAAGGGTTTTCACGAAGAACTTCGTCATGGAATACCTGACTCACGTGGGATCCTCTTCCTCCGAATGGGTCTAATTTTTTACGTGGCCGATCTCGAGAGTTAATACATTCATTGAGGAAATATGAAATATTTAGTAACAATTGAGGACACTTTGCATTGAAACGAACGATATACATGATTCAGAAATCTCCCTTCAATTTTCACTTAAAATTTGCTCCATAATTTCGCCACAGTTTCGTCAGAAGGAAAACAAAGCCGACAAAAAAGACGACAAGCTGCTGTAACCAAACTAAAATTAGAGAAACCCCCCACAGAAAAAGTTGTGAGTACCACTTACTTGAATTTAAAAGTTTCGTGTTACCAGGAATTAAAAAAATCCAACTACACGCGAATGTCGCGGGTTCTTGTATTTTATTTCCATTTGACTTTTATGTGACCTCTCTAGCTAAATCAATTATTTAAGGCAGCAATCGCAGTTGATTTTTCTCTCTTCTCTTCCGACCCCTCCGGGATAGCTTCTGCCGAATGCAAAACCCTGGTCCTATTTGAGATTCCTGTCTCAACATTTAATCATGAGGAAAGTACCGCATCCAAATTACATGTACCTTGAAAATAGAATTGGGATCGTTGATTGGGAAGTTATGGGCCTTCACTCCGATGTTCATGAGTTCATCGACATCATCTCCTCAATCCAGTCAATAAACCTGATGGGTAGGAACAATATTAACGGTTTACCTACCCCCAAAGACGACCAAAGGAAAATTCAGCCAACAGTGAATGAAAGATAAAATACTAATACACAGGGTGCTCCAATGACTGATGAACATATTTGGACTTGCAATCCAGAGTGAACTTAGCCCTTAGGAAAATCCCACACCCATTCAACACGTGTTGGTGCCGCAGAGTTGATTTGGTTGGTTACTGAAATCCCACCCAGTTGGAAATCAGCACGTGTTGGAATACACCAAATTGAAATAGTCGTGTTAGATTAATCTCTACTAGAAAGTAATGAAGGGCATATGATTTCCGCTGCATTTGAATTCCAGAAACTCAAATTTCCCGTAAGAACTCCGGGCGATGTGCTTCCCATTATTCTACAATTTCGGAACCTAATGAAAACAGTAAATACAGTATAATGCATCAATATTACATGAGAAGAGTAATCTTCCACCTCAATATAGAATCTCAGGCGATGCCTCTGAATGCTTCACGAAATGAACGACTAATGTGTTTCCAGACAACATTCAGCTAGATGCCTTGATTTTTGTCAAAAGATGAATCGACATGAATGTGTTCAAATGGCACAAGAGGGCCGCGTCTTGTGAAAGTAAATTCAATCACAAGGTAAGACTCTATTGAATGGATTTGTGCAAGTCGATTGCATTCAGATTTCGCCCCGGTTTCATTAGTACAAAACGCATGTTTTAACACATGCTGATGTATGCAGAGGGGGAAAAGTCACCACTTGAATTCAAACTCGAACAGAGCAACAATCAACTGAGGTCACTAACCAGGTCCATAGCGTCATATTTCAACTTACTTGCGTGAAACAAAGTGTGTTAAGTGTACTGCTACAGCCGGAGACCATTATTTGAGGGGAAGGGGGGTGTGTGAGTGGAATAGAGAGCTTCGCGGTCATTTAGAGGTGTTTCCGGGAATTCTCTTCATTTCCAAGGGCATCCGTTGAGGTTGAATATTTATATCTTCATCGCCACAGATTTGCTTGGGTCTAAACAGTCAATAACGTGTGGAAGCCAATTTGATTGCTTCAACATTCCTCCGGCATCATCTTCAGTCAATAAATCGGAGATACACCTTGATTCGGGCAATACAAATCTGGAAATAATCCCTTCTTCAGGTGGAGAGTTACAAATAATTCTATCATATCTTGGGGAATGCTTCCGGGCATGGTTTGGCTTGGATCAGTGTGATTCACAAGGGAGTTGTATTTACATTAACACAAGGGAGCGAGTTAATATGATGTGAATATTACGCAGCACTGAAGGAACCGTCATTATTCTAAATGTAAAATCATAGCCTATAGCATCTTCATCACATTCCACACTGCAATATTATCTAAGAGTTGGACACGAATTCCATTAAAACTTTCCCATTTTAAATTTCCTTCCAATTGGGGCGTACGTGCAAACTGATTTTTCATCCCAACCTCAGCGTCTATCCCAACCTGCCTGCCTCTACACTTCCAACACCCAGCCTTCCAACACCCAACCTTCCAACACCCAACCTTCCAACACCCAGCCTTCCAACACCCAGCCTTCCAACACCCAGCCTTCCAGCACCTCTCACGACTTCCCACCCACACTGCCCACCATGTGCCTCTCCCTTCCCTCCTCTTAGCGATACCCTCCAACAAACTTATCACGCGCTCCAACACTGCTTCAACACCCTCCAAAACCTTTTCAGCACGCTCCAACACCTTCTCAACACTCCTCCACACCCAATCAACACGTGCTGAATGGTAACCGATTTTCATAATGGCCATAAGCATTCGTTCAGGTCGCAGGAAAATAAGCATTGTATCTGTCACTGCTCAAGTACTATTATTAAGCTTTTTTCTCTAAAGAATTCATCAATGCAAAATTCATTATAGGTGCTTATGAGCGCGTAAATCTATTGTACTATTGCTTAGTCATTCATGGTGGAGATGAAAGTGAAAAAGGGGTTCACACAATTAAAATCTGGAAAAAAAGCGAGATCAGACCACATCAACAAAGCAAAACTGTCCATGGATAAATTTGATTCTTTTTGCTCATACTTGGAAATCTTAATATGAACAGTATTAAAAGGGGAAACAAATAAAACTCTCATCACTATGGTTAGTTAAAAGGAAACTCCATGAAAACACCAAGTCATTTGATTATTCACGAGGAACTTCGGACGAAGATGAATCACGAAACCATGAATAATTTACTATCCACTTTTTCATGAAAATGTGCGCTTTCCTTGATATTTCCGAGACGGTTTCATAGAAGAGGGCCATGAGAGAAGGCGAACTCACTTATTGACTCTAATGAACACACCATACTGGCCAGGTTCATAATTGGAGCAATTCTGTCCCGATTTTGTGTAGATATGACTGACGATTCCTTCGACAACCCATTGACTTTTCAGAAGACTATTAGAGGCGAAGACAATGGGACTCCCCGAATCCCCTTCACACACCGTCCTGTATTCTAAGTGAAAATAATGTTGTCACTTCAATATACAGGAGTTCATGTAATCTTCTGTAAACTTAGAGATGCTGCAATTGTGTAGCATGTTCCTTTTTATTTATAGTACTAAAAGCACACAATTCACGATATACCACCGGGTACAATTTGCTTGAAAATGACGTCCATATTGTATTACAGACGTATTTCTCGCATGCACTTCCATACGGGGAGGATAAAATTATCGAAAAGGATGGAATTCGTACGCGATCGGTGTGAGAGGGCTTCTCATACCTTTTCCATCCTCATTCTCTATTGAGGTGGCATTTTTGCGTTCTCCTGCACAAAACGTCTTCCTTGTTATGGAAGTAGGGATATCTTCTGTCATCATGTGGATTCTATTTCGGCATTCACGCTTTGGTATAACTGTCAGTCGCACTTCAGTCAAGACATCCGTTGCCTGGTCCGAGGCGTCTCTTCCCCAGCCTGCCACCTGACGTAAGACCGAAGATTATATTGTTAAGCAATAAAATGAGGCATTCCAGTGATAGTGGCTTACCTTTCCTCCGTGAGGAACGCTTAATTCATCTTGAGAACCGTCAAAAAAGTCATCTGACAGGACATCAATGGACGGAAGACAGATCAATTGAACCCGTGCCGTCAGATTAGCCGACTCGTGTAGTTTCAGCAGGGCAATGTCGGATTCCCAGCCGGAGTATTCTTCATTCACGATGATCTGAGTCACCTGCAAGTAACGGGGAATAGTGCTACATCTGGGATCGAATTAAATTTTTTGACCTGCACATAACACGAAATGCATTTGCGTCTGCACCTTCATCTTTTGCACGAATTTATCGTCCTTGGACACGTTTCGATAGTGCTTCCCGAGATAGACGAAGAAATCTTCCACATCTCGAATTGTAAATGTACTGTCGTGATTGTCGTCCACGACGCAATGTGCGGCAGTGAGAACCCATCGTCTTCCAATCAGAGCGCCTCCGCAAATGAGATCTTTCAGCTCCACATCATATATGGCCGCTTGCCAAGGCCAAGACCCCGGAGATGCTTCCTTCCCTCCACGGACCAATCGCTGACCCGCTAGAACCAGATTTCCCCTCCTTCCGCACACTAGAGGAGCGGGAAGTTCCACCAAGTTATTCCTTAATCTTACAAGTTCTATCGATCATTGGAACGATTTTTCGATAAAAAACAGACCAGGTTCACAGAGGGGATCTGGGCCAGTCCATTCTTCATTCGCTCCACATGTCCGAACACGTGGACCCCGAAGAGTGTAATAGTTATCACACGTGTAGTTCACTTTACTTCCGATGTGGTATTTCCCACCTCGTATGCATCTTTTTTTATTTTTGTAACTGAAGGAAAGATGAGCTCTTTTCAGTAGCTAGTTCTAACGTTCCAGCTGCATATAAAGTTTAGGACGCATTATAGCGACGTTGCAAGATAGCTCCTAGAAACACTTACCTAGTACCATTACATAAATTCGAATGCCTTTTTTATTACCAAACACGAAGTTATGTTATGAGATGCACCAGTAAGCTATATCAATGTTGTTTGCATGTTCATGGTGAACATGCAAACATCAAAATAATTCATTAATAACAATGATTTATGTCATTTTATGAATATGTGAAGGAAAGTCTTCTCTAAGGAAAAATGGAGAGCAGGGTTAAATAATCTTACATCCGCCCGTTATAAGAACATTGGAAGTGTCCGTTTATGATGCCAGGAAGCGGTCCACAGCCGATCACTTTTGCCTACAACCGGTAATAATGTATTATTTTACAGGAATTGTTTTTGTGTTATGGCAAGCTTGGTCGAATTTGGACTTACGGAGCTGATGCAGCAAACTTGGGTCTCTTTAGGACAGGCTAAGGAAGTATTGAGAGTGCCATCTTCGCAAAGGCAAGCTTGTTGCGAATCGATGCATCTGGGACCTCCCACGACGTTGGGACACTGTGGACGCCTAAGACTTGGCTTGGTCACTGTCTCGCTGCGGCATTTTTTCAGTAACTCTGTCAGATCTGGGTTTTTCAAATTTGTCCCATTTCCACAGGTCCCCTTTAATTTTTTCATCGATTCCGGCGCAAATGTCAACCAGGCTATACCACAGTCACACTGGATAGGATTGTCTGAAATATAGGATGGCCAAGTTGCAAGAAGGAACAAATAAGTAAGAAGTAGGTATAAATTGAGATAGCCCTGGCACACACCTTCTAGGTTGAGAAAACCATCACCTTGGGAAAATTCCATTAGGATACGGTAAAGGGTCCAGCCATCGATTGTAGCTATCCGGTTGTGTTGAAGGTACACTTTCGTGTTGGCCGAAACACCTGGAATGGACTTGGGAAATGCTCCACTCTGATTTGAAGCTTTAAAATACTGAATACTATTATCAGCAGTTTTCCCCAAAAATTTTAAAGTGAAGACTATCATTTGATACATAAACGACTTCAATGGGCATGCGAGGGACATAGGAAAAAGTTGTAAACAAGTACAATTCCATATTTAATTCTGAATATAGATGACCAATGGATTCATTTATATGAACAAACTGCACAGAAGTTGTAGGCATGCGCGAAGGAGAAAAAATGAGGGCAATCTGCTAATTTTTGGAGAAACATTTCTCTTTGCCTGTTCATCTTGCAGTATTCAATACTTTTTGATGACTGATTTTGGCATATAGAAACCGTGAGATATAACGTTTGTGCGTGCCATGAATTTGAGAATACTGTTAACTTCATTTTTTCCAAATGAAGCGCTTCCTCAAATTTAATTGAATTGTTTCCTCACTTTTTTTTACTGGGGATTTGATTCGAGAGGTTGAGAGCTTTCGGTCACGAAATTCGAAAATGTATTGTTGCCCCCCCGAGCGAAGTATTAGTATGCTTAGTATGATGAAATTCTACAATATAACCTATTAATTTCCGACTTCAGGAATTCGTGAAGCAGTTGCAGTGAACTTTTCAAGTTGCTATTAAAACTTAGCATGAGTTGCGATGGAATGATCCCTCTTGCGTGCTAGTGTTATCAAAAGATACGGTTATCATAGGGCAGATTTATTAATCAAATCATGGGGAACCCTTGCATATAGTACAATTTATATTCCCAATGTAAGCAAATCCAAAGTAAAAGACTGAATCGCTTCGGGATAAAAATGCAGGAAATTCCATGTCAGGCATATATAATTATTTGCTGAATAATCAGCGGGAAACGGAAATCATGCTTGAATGCCAATAAATGCGGCAACTTACACCACAAATACTTTTTGTTTAAAGGAAACCATAGAATAGCTACGAGCGAAAATATTGAATATTACGTAATGCAGCTTTCCTCATAACGCCAAATAAATTACAATTCCATAACTTGCTAGAGTCAGATGATATACTTAGGAATTAAAGTCCTGAATTTCTCAAGTATTCCCAGACGATTCATATGAGTCCATATTTCCATGACGCATCCCCAATTCACGCATTATTTTAAAAAAATCGTGAGGAACATATCGTGGGAATGCAACATGGATTCCGGTAATCCACTGAAATTGGAAGGGAGTGCCGGTATTGTAGAAGAGGTTCAAGCTTTCCTGGAACTGCTCCATTATGGGCGTCAGAAAAGATCATTACTAGCCTTCTAATACCAACTTCGAAAATTCTTTCCCTTTCCAAAAATTCACGCAAGCACATTGTGAAAAAATTAAACAAAATGGATAGGAGAAAGGTATCATCGCATTACTTTATAGATCATGAAAGAAAAATAAAACTACCAACTCACTGTAGCTTCCAATCAATTTGGAATCCACAAACCGGTCTAATAACTCATGGCTATTGAAAGCTGGAAGTGAGGTCAAGAAATTCATGTCCAGCCTGAGTATACGCAATTTCGGAATTGCCCATCTATAAAACTCCACATTCGTGATTTGATTAGAATTGAGATAGAGTTCTTCCAGGCTGTCGCTCTTGAATGCTGGGACAGAGGTCAAAGAATTGTTCCAGAGCGAGAGTATCCTCAACTTCGGTGTTGCCCATCTGTCAAACTCCACATTCTTGATTTGATTACTATAGAGATAGAGTTCTTCCAGGGTGTCGCTCTTGATTGCTGGGACGGTGGTCAAGTAATTGTTCCAGAGCTTCAAGGTCCGCAATTTCGGAGTTGCCCATCTGTCGAACTCTACATTTCTAATTCTATTATAACTGATTTCGAGTTCCTGCAAGCTATCGCTCTTCAAGGCTGGGACAGAGGTCAAGGAATTGTTCCAGAGCGAGAGTATCCTCAACTTCGGTGTTGCCCATCTGTCCAACTCCACATTATTGATTTGATTACTAGACAGGTATAGTTCTTCTAAGCTGTCGCTCTTGAAGGCTGGAACAGAGGTCAAGGAATTGCTCCAGAGAGAGAGTATTCTCAATTTCGGTGTTGCCCATCTGTCCAACTCCACATTATTGATTTGATTACTATAGAGATATAGTTCTTCCAGGCTGTCGCTCTTGATTGCTGGGATGGTGGTCAAGTAATTGTTCCAGAGCTTCAAGGTCCTCAATTTCGGAGTTGCCCATCTGTCGAACTCTACATTTCTAATTCTATTATAACTGATTTCGATTTCCTGCAAGCTATTGCTCTTCAAGGCTGGGACAGAGGTCAAGGAATTGTTCCAGAGGGAGAGTATCCTCAATTTCGGTGTTGCCCACCTGTCGAAATCCACATTCGTGATATGATTATTATTGAGATAGAGTTCTTCCAGGCTGTCGCTCTTGAATGCTGGGACAGAGGTCAAGGAATTGTTCCAGAGCGAGAGTATCCTCAACTTCGGTGTTGTCCATCTGTCAAACTCCACATTCTTGATTTGATTACTATAGAGATATAGTTCTTCCAGGCTGTCGCTCTTGATTGCTGGGATGGTGGTCAAGTAATTGTTCCAGAGCTTCAAGGTCCTCAATTTCGGAGTTGCCCATTTGTGGAACTCTACATTCCTAATTTTATTACAACTGATTTCGAGTTCCTGCAAGCTTTCGCTCTTGAATTCTGGGACAGAGGTCAAGGAATTATTCCAGAGCGAGAGTATCCTCAGTTTCGGAGTTGCCCATCTGTGAAACCCCACATTCCTGATTTGATTACTGGAGAGGTAGAGTTCTTCCAGACTGTCGCTCTTGAATGCTGGGACAGAGGTCAATGAATTATTCCAGAGCGAGAGTATCCGCAATTTTGGAGTTGCCCATCTGTGAAACCCCACATTCGTGATTTGATTACTGGAGAGGTAGAGTTCTTCCAAGCTGTCGCTCTTGATTGCTGGGATGAAGGTCAAGGAACCTTTATGGAGGGAGAATATCCTCAATTTTGGAAATTTCCTGCAAAGAAAGAGAATATTAAATGTGGTTTACCGTTTGCTCACATCATGAATTATGGAGTCTACTCATCTCCTATTAGACAAGTAAGACCTCAGTTATTGTGTGAATTGTAGTCACTGCGGGAATCCCCCCAGAAACCTCACGGACCTCTTTCAACGTGTTTATCTCTATCTTGGCGCTGATGTATCTTTGTATATACCTCAGAAGACTGTTCTTCTTTTAAAATAATATTTTTCCTGAATTTTTTATTCAAGAAATAGTACTTGGATAATGCCTTGTCTTTACCATGTTTTTATTTGTTCTGTTTGTTATGCGTCCTCGGTTCGTATATTAGTGTCAGGTTTCTGTGATCCGGTTTCTTTAGGAACTTTTGTAAAATCTTAGGAGGATGCTCGTGTTGTCTGAGTTCTGTATATTGTAGTGTTTATTCCTTTCATAGGAGGATGTTTTATATGTGAAATTATTTTTCATATTTTGGTTGATAGCATTTAAATGACAATTTTCTAATTTTTTTTTACTTAAGAATTTCTATTTTTGGTCTGGTGAGCGCCTGTAATGTGTTTGTTCCCATCCTCCAATAAAGATAAATTACGTGTGTGCATAATCCAGTTAAGCGGTGTACCTGTACTTATGCGGCCGTGCGCTCGCAGTCCCGCAGGAGTGTCGCTGTAACGGTACGTCCGTATTGGTACGTGTATCCTCGGTTTTGAATTGCTGCTGCTTAGCAGGTGCGATCAATTTGATATTTTAGTTGGAGCTTCCTGAATTTGCTTTGTCTTCGTCAGTGCTGCCATCTTCAAGTAATTACAGGAAGTGTCAGAAATAAATAAATACTGTGGAGCAGGATTTTTGTGAGGGTGACTTCCTCATTAGCTACTCGTGTTTGGTACGTGGTCAGAGTTATCCTGCCCTTGATTTTCAATAACTTAATTGGGAATTCCTGGCAATTATAATAAAATGTATCACGGGCAAGGTGGCGTAGACAAATGAACGGCTTGATGTCTTACAGACATGCCCGTTCCAGTGCCCATTTCAACTTAGCTGTTAGCAAAGAACATGGCTGCACGTAGGAGCATGGGTGCGAGCACGAGAGAGAGAGAAATTATTGAAGTGATTTCAGATAGTGATTCTGAAGGCTACTTGATCGCTAGTAGCGATGAACCAATGGTGTCGGAGTCTGATCAAGAGAATGCTTGAGGGCAATCAGACGAAGAAGTGGAGAAAACACCATCAATACCTGCCAGTACTTCAGCCAGACGTGGGCGCCAAGATGAAATATCTCGGGATAAAGGAGCGTTCACCCCTAAGGCATTCAACTTCGACTCATCTGGGTCTGGCGTTAATGCTGATTGTTCAATGCCTGCTTTAGCAAGAAAAATTGACTGCTTCAAGTTGATTAACGACGGTGGGCAACATCGCGAACGAGACAAACGAGTACGCCCGGACTCTTAAGAACAACCCTGAACTGAGAGAAAAATCGAAGATGCAGGAATGAATTAACACGTGCGTTTCTGAAAATTTGTTTTTCTTGCTGCAGCAATTCTCGTGAATCTCATAGTGAAGAACAGCTTGAGAGATTACTGGTCCACCGACCCCGCGATCACCACACCATTCTTTTCGAAACATTTTTTTTTGCATCTCAATCATTTTTTCTTGTTGCTGAGGGCCCTTCACTTTTCTCCCAATACCGCAGGCGAAGAAGACCCCTGAGGAAAATTCGGCCGATTACAGCAGTCCTCCAAACGAAATTCACTCTGATATTTTCCCCATACCAAGAACTTTGCATCGATGAGAACCTCGTACTTTGGAAGGGCAGACTCTCTTTAAGGCCGTACATACCATTCAAGCGACACCGCTTGGGTATAAAAAGCTTCGTCATGTGCGAAGAAGGACAGGCAACATTTCGAACTTCATTGTCTACACTGGTGCAAACACTGAATTTGAATATTTTGCTAACTGAGGAGTGTACAGTTCAGTTGTGGCTACACTTATGACGCCATACCTGGGCAAAGGTCACATTGTCTACGCGGACAAATGGTATACGAGCCCCGAATTATTTGAGTTACTGTGCATCAATAACACTGGCACGGGTGACAGTAAGCGGGAACAACATGCCTGTACTTGGAAAGAAAATGAAAAGGGGGAAAGTAGAATTCCCGCATACAGAGAAGCTCTTGCCAGTCAAGTGGCAAGACAAGAGGAACGTCTACTTGCTGAGTAGTGTCCACAAGCCAACAATAAGGGAGACAGAAAAGTTGGATCATGTCACGTGCCAGAAGAAAGTGAAGCCCCAATTTTTCGTTGATTACAACAGAAGCACAAAGATGCGCGCCTCTAGTAGGCATTTAAACATAATGGCGATTGGAGCCAAAAGGTACTCACTGACGAGGCCTTCAACTAATTATTCAGAAACACGATGATCATGGAATCCAGCCACCAATCCTCCGATCATTTCTCTGTGTGCAGATACAGTCCAGTTTATTCTAAGTACAAGAACATCCTTTATCTACACTCATGATTTCGCATAATTTTCTCTACGTTTGCTTCCTCCAGATTCTAACATGGCATTCTCCTTTTAGGCGTTCTTTAAATGTGTGCAATCCTGGAAATGTGCTTTTGCACTAGGAAAATTTAAATACGAATAAATTGGAAGAATAGGAATGGGAAACGACTGACTATTCATAAACGGAAAAGTGATGCTCCGTTTTATTCCGAGTTGGGCCAGTCAGAATTGGAACCGCTTCAGGAATGCTAAAAAAAATTCGTTTGCGGAGACCCAAAGAAGCGAGTCCATCGTCCATATCGATTCGATTATTGAAATAATGGGAGCAATCGTAGATCTGCTCCGCTGGGAGTGTCCACTAACTGGTTCGTCTGAAGAAAACTAAGAGAGGGTCAATAAGAAGATTCCATCCATCAATTTGGATATGGATGTATATCTTGACCATAGAGATCTTATATTTCATACCTAGAGTGGCTGGTGGCGCTAATGTAGTGTGAGGTTTGGAAGCCATGATAGCCGGGTCATCCATAGCCGGGTAGCGCCTACTTCACCATGCGTTTTGCATGCTTCCTGGAGTCATTCTCTTGTCAGACCTAGTCGATACGGTTCGAGGAACTCTTGATTGACCAAACGTTCCACGTCCACGCTGAAATG